TGTGTCAGAGGCGGTGCGGTTGGCCCAGGATAGAGCAGGGTTTAGGGCTGTTGTGCATAGGGTCGCTATGAGTTGGAAACGACTTGACAGCACATAACCACAACAACAACAGCAATCCTACAGGACAAAGGAGAACTGGATGGTAGGCTTTCTGAGGCTGTAAATCTGTAGGCGATCAGACCGTCTCTTTTCTCCTCTGCCAAGTAGCTACTGAATTTGAACTGCTGAAATTTTGGTTAGCAGCCCAACCGTGCTACTGAGGATCTCTTCAGAAACTATCATTTTAATTCATAGGTATGCTGTATCTACTGTGCTTGGAATGCTTTTATCTTCATAGCTCATCTCATTGCAACTGATTCTCCAGAGGGTTTATGGATGCTGTAAATTACATGAGAGGAGACTGCCCATCTTTCTCCTATGCAGCAACTGGTGGATTTGAACTGCATGACTTTGGGCTGACAGCACAATTTCTTGCCATTAAGCCACCAAAGTTCTCTTTTATTTATATAAGTGTTTATGACTTACATGTTTTAAAAACTCTTCTATCAATAAAAATTTCATAACCTTTCAGTGGATGTAAATTTCATTGTATAGCTTAACTACAGTTTAGTTAACTATTCACTGAATTTTGATTTTATGTAAGGGCAAGTTAAAGGTCACACTTATAAAATCTGTGACAACTAGATCTGACAACACAATTCAATTCTGCCTCGTAACAAATATTTAAAGAATCTTCACAAAAATGACTGCCATATATGATCACTTGTTTTGAATTCCACCACATAAATGTATAAAGCTAAAAGCAAGACCTTAATGATATAAACATTAAAATTTGTGACACTCACCATAGGCCCAAGGAGCGTCTGGAAGCACACCAGGAGGAGGGTACGGGTATGAAGCCTGTGGTAAAGGCTGACTGGAAACTAACTGTGGAAAAATTGGCTGCTGAAAATTGTAAGAAATTGGCATCTGAGATTGGAAATACCCATTCACTGGACCAAAACCATCAACTTGTGGCTCCCCAGCAAAGTAACTAAAATATTGAGAGCAAAAAAAATTAGAATGTGTGTTCTGGACACTACTTGCCATTGTATTTGATATCCCTGGATGCTGAGGTTGTGCTTCATAAGATGTTATCCCCTGGTATGTTCGGGTTATAGAATTGCCATTGATATTACTATAATGATAAACACTCCAAGAATAGTAAGGATATGGAGTTCTGTGTGAATATTCAGAAGAACTACTTATAGAGGTATAAGCTGGTTGAGGATATTGATTCCAATAGATGGAGGCATTTTGAGTTAGGGCTTTTGAATTTTCACTACTCTGTTCAGAGAGAGAGTACTTGGGTACCTGATTCCTATTAAGAGTTAAGCTCTCAGATGCTCCAACAGGAATAGTGCTGGGATTCAATGTCTCTTTCATATAATTGTCCTCTGATTCAGTTTTTTCAGGCTTTGTTTTGTTTACTTGAATAGGAATTATGTTCTGAATTAGTGTAGGTTCTTGGGAATTGTTGCATGTGAAGCTTTTAACAGATGGATTTAGTGCTTCATTACCTTCAAGTTCAAGGCTAGGGTCATTTATTTCTAGATGGCTATGGCTCTCCTTCACAGGATGGAATACAGGCTTTGAGAGTACTGCTGTTCTGGGAAGAAAAGAAGTCTCAGTTCCTGGTTTTATGTTCTTTGCAGGAGCTGGGGAAGCTGTAAGAACTTCTTGTGAAGGCATATCACAGTCTTTTGAAAATTTGTTGCCTACACTTTTGTGGTCACAAACTGCAAAATAAGCACCATTTTTCTTTTCACTTTTTCCCCCAGCTGCACTAAAATTCACACTTCTTTCCTTCATGCCATTTGTCTGATTCCCAGTGAAGGTTTCTGACCTAACAGATAAAATATTATTTAAATCTACTTTGCTTTCCAAATCTGACATGCAACTGCATTCTGAGTTCTTTAAAGCAACAAGTGAGCGAGGTGGTGATCTTGGGATTTCAACTATTTTTGGAGACACACAGTTTCTTCTCAGATGATCGGATGCACTTGGTCCTATTTTGTTTTCACGTTGGGGATGAGATGTTGTAGTCCAGCTAAATATAAAACACACATACATACACTTTAAATAGATTCCAAAGTTTCAATAAAAAAACTTTAAAATGTTATTCTTTAGGAATTCCTAAGATTTATATTTTCCTCTTTCTATAGGCAATTCAAAACCAGTAAACCATATGCCACTGAGTCCATTCTGATTTATGAGGGACCCCAGTGTACATCAGAACCGAGCTGCATTCTGGAGGGTTTCAGTAGCTGTCAAGACTTTCTTCAAAGGCATCTCTGGGTGGACCTAAAATGTCAACTTTCTGCCTAGTGGCAGAAAATGTTAACCACTTGCACCACTCAGAAATTCCGTTAGCAATATACAAGTAACACCGTTCCCCAATATTACTCTCTTGGCTTTAAGAAAATAAATTAAAATCCTAAGGAATCAAAGTTTGACCTTGAGTCTATCACAGCTGAATTTAAAGACCACCTCTGGGAACAGGTTTGAGGCCTTGAACTCTAATGAGCGAAGACCAAATGAGCTGTGTCAGGATATCAAGAATATAACCCATAAAGAGTGTAAAAGGTCATTGCTAAGACAGAGGAGGAAGAAAAGACCAAGGTGTATGTCAGAAGATATTCTAAATACTGCACTAGAAGGTTGAGAAGCCAAACCAGAGGAAATCAATCAAAATGTTAAGGACCTGAACAGAAGATTTCAAAGCAAGTTTGGGAAGATAAAGCAAATTTTAATGAAATGTGCAAAAACCTGGAGTTGGAAAATAAAAAAGGAGGTAGTCAGCATTTCTTAAGCTGAAGGAACTGAAGAACAAATCCAAGCCTTGAGCTGCAATAATTAAGGATGGTATTGTTGCGATGGGAAAGTCTGCGGTTAGGGACCTCTCTATAAAGTACTCAAGAGAAACGGTGTCTCTCTGGAGACTAAGGTCGGCCTGATACAGGCCATGGTTTTTGCAATCACTTGTTATGCATCAGAGAGTTGGACAATGACTAGGGAGGATAGAAGGAGAATTGACGCCTTTGAGCTGT